CGTAAGCCTACTACTGCTACTTTTTTACAATTAATGCAGAGGTGTGTGATAGAAATGGTGATAGGTAGAAAGAACCAAAGCAGATTTACACGCTATAAACTAAATTCTCACATCATATAGTCGGTATAACTAAGCATCTCAATTTATGCACGGCGGGGAAGATCCTGTTAAAGATGGAAAAGTTCAAGGCAACTCACTCTACATCGGGTACCTCCGCTAGTATAAAATAATATTTACCTGGTAAAATAGAAGAACCAAAACTATCACGATGAGAAATAATATTTCTCGATACACGATAACGTACTAGAAAATAAAGATAAATAAATTTAATTCATCCTTCTAAACTATATTATTAAAAAAATTTATTATTATAAAATATGTTACCTTCTTTTAAACTTTCATCATTTTCATCGATAGATTGATCATTAACAAATGATTCTGATGAATTTGATGAAGTTCGTGATAAAATTTCGATATCGCTTTCTTCTAAACTATTTAATCCTAAACAAAAAATACATGAGAATTAACTTAACGTATTGTTACTGTCTTTTTATCGATATTTAGTTATTTACCAACTATAGAGAGAGATTACTGTGTTAAAATAAACATAGAGGTTAATCGTAATATTCTGATATTGTACACTTCTTAAAATATATTGATAAGAGAAAAAAAGCTTATCAACATTGCTTCTTTGGAACGAAATATGTGAAAACTTCACTAAACTTTGTCCGCAAGTGTGCCTAATGTTCATTGAACAGAAACAAATCAATAATAGGACAGCTTTCGGGATGCTAAAAGACTCTTTTTTTAATAGTTGTAAACTCGCAGAAAAGCGAAAGATTTGATCATAAAAAATGTACTCAAAATGTTTACAGCTACTGAGTGTGTATTTACAACCACTGATAACTGAGTTTACAACTACTGAATAAAAATCACTTAAAACGCAGAAATCGTCTACCTATAAGAATAAACTCAAATTTCCATTTCCTTCGGAAAACAGACATGTCCTTGAAAGTTTTCACAAAAATTAAGACAAGAGTATAACTTATTTCTTCCATTTAGGATAAATATTAAAAGAATGATTTTATTTTTATTTATTTATCGAGATAAATCTTACTTTGAGATGGATAATTGATATATGAGGTTAGTGGATCATTATATGTTGTTGAACGACCTAAAATAGAAATAAAAAATGATTAGACAATACATTGAAACTATTTTACTTTTTTAGTTTTCAATTTCTACTATTTTAATTAATTAACTCATAAAAAAATTTAATATTCATTTACAAATACTTTTTAGATTAAATATTAACATTCAGTACTCAGAATACGCTAGAGCATCAAAACATGACAGAATTAGTTGACATACTATTATCTGTGGTGGTCAAATGTCTTGTTTGTGTCGTTGTTTTTTGTCTTAATTTTGCTTCATACACGGCTGCATTACATCCGTGACCAATGAGACATCCTAATTCATAATCTTTAAGAGTATATCCATTGTAATCACCATCCGTTTCCATTTGACCGTCCGAAAGTGACTTTTTTAACGATAATAGCGTCTAGAATTAAACAAAGAGAATATATAGAATATATGACGAGTTGATACACTTTTCTTCTATTATTTTACATTGATTTTATTTAATGTCTGATCAATTTGATTGTAATCAAATCCATTTGAATTTACCAATGAATACCCTAATAAACTTAAGGCAAGACGACGACCACCGGGAGCTATAACAAAATAAACTATTCTTTTAAACTCGATACATTTCATTAGACATTAGAAAAAATTTCATTTTCATCTATAGTTAGTGATAACAACACTAATTTTAGACAGTTTACAGTTTTTTTTGAAAAATAAAATATAATTTTTGACATGAAAGAGAGAACACCACAATGAGTTGATATTTGTAACAAAATAGAAGATCAAATTTCCTATACATTCAAAGGTATACAATTTGAGGTAAATTCGTCTAATCTAACAAATTTTCTCATTGAAAGAGAACATAAGTACTCATTATTCAGATCAACAGTGAATACTTAGTTACTTTTTCATCTTGATTCTCATCTTCTATAAAATATAAAATTCAAACTAAAAACATCTGAGTTTTGAATCTTACAAAAAAAAAAAACATTTTTAATTTAAACTAAACATTTTCTAGTTAAACTTTTTGGTAATAGTTTTTAATCTTACTTTTCTAAGCTAACAGATATCTACTGATGAAAATAGTTTTATTTACTTCAATATTCAATTTGTTTCATGATGCGCTTGACTCTTTTTAATTAAAATGCTTTTTTTAAAAATTCTAAAACTCTCATTTAGACGCATAAATGTTGTATCTTTAATATACACAAGAAAAAAATATTTAGTATGATGAGAATTCTACAGAGATGGGGCAGAAATTTTTTCCATTTGCTTCTATGATTACATGTTTTGTCTTGTATCTTTTTATTGAAATGACACTGTTTCTTTAAATGTCTATATCAAAGGTTTTTCTCTACACTAAAGTCCAAAAGTTAGAGGGCTAATCTAAAAAATGAGTCACACCTGCGAAAATAATCAGTCCCAGTCAAGTCTCAAAAAAAGCTTGTCAATCCGGACTTAAAAAACGCTTAGACAAACTATAAACGATAGATGTTGTTGTTGTTTTTTTGAATTTCATTAACTGTGTCAAATTTATGTAGACAAAACATTTTTCTAACAACATGATCAGAATAGAAGAGTTTATTATCTTTTCAAAATTAGACGATGACGACAACATGACAATTAGATACTTTCGAAAACATAAAGTAAAATCATTTTTTCTCTTTTTAAAAATGATTTGTTGCACACCTTATTCAAATATTCTTTAACAAGAACTTGTTATCTTATCCCAAGAAGTATTTAGTACTAAAACAAATTAGGTTTTTATGACAGTTTTTGATATACACTCGTATAAACTGTCAATCAATTCAGAAATGTAACCATACATACCTCAAGTTAACTGTAGCAAAACACAAAACTTATTAGGTTCTTTCGTATCCTCATGTCAGTCAAATTTGTTGAAAAAGAAAAAAGAAATGTTTTTAATTAATAAAAGGTGTAGTGTACAAGTTTCAACAAATCGACAAGATATGAGATGTATTAACTACACGAAAATTCACCCTTTTCTTCTCTTTTTCTTGGTTACTAATGATATATACTGAACTCATATAATTTTATTCACCTACCATATGCACGCAACCACAGAGTAAAGAGACAAGTTATATATTGAATGAACACTTAGGTACAATTGTAGTCAACGTAAAGAAAGGGAAAAGAAACTCCTTTTTCTTTTTCTTTTTCTTTGTGTAGATCAAACTTTATATAATTCTTTTACCATAAAGATTTACCTTGTTTAATTATATATAAAAGAGAAAATTGGCATTATTATCAGACAGCACAGGTGCTTTTTTGTTTTATCTTCTAACTCTTTTATTACATACTTGGATTTATAACTCTCTCTCTCTCTCTCACTCTCACCCGCACACTACACAAAACTGTACATTAGAACGAGAAAAAAAAAGAAACCTGGTTTTCTCTCTCTCTCTCTCTCTCTCTTTCTTTTTTCTCTATCTGAAATGCAACAGTGGCCATAATCATATATACATACATTCTACATTTGATTCTCTATTCTCTGTCTGTTTTATCCCCTTACAATTGTACCAAAGGATAATAGAAAGTTACCTGCAAAGAATAATCTTCGTTTTATTTCATTTAATGCTTGTCTAAATGGTAATAAATGAATTTGTCTTTGAGCAAATTCAGCTGTTGTACCATGAGGAATACTTGAGACCATCTGACGGTACAACGGAAAAAATAATGATCGATAACCACCATTTTGTGTTTGATGATTGGGCTTTTCATTAATTGGTATATGAAGACGCTAGAAATAAAGAAAAAACTTATTGATGAAAAAAGAAACGAAAAGAAAAAAGAAAACATTTATTTACCGTTCCAAATACGGGTTTAATTGGTTTGACTAATGCTCGAGTAATCTTCATTAATATGGTTGCTGCACGTTCTAACACCATCTTTTATCTCTCAATATACGTTCTTGAGAGAGAACGTGTAACTATTTAAATTGTCTGAAAAAGATATGATATGTATAATTTTACATTTATTTCCATAACGCATTTATTGAATAAATAAAATTTTTCAGAAAGAAAAAAGGTTGATTGACTATTGCATATACAACAACAAGTAATAAACGAGAGATTATTATGATATAAATCATTTTATAAATGGATAAAAGATATTCACCTCAACGGTATAATAGTATGATATACTATTTTTAATCGTCTCGATCATGAATGTTTAATAATAATTTGTTTATGTTATCATATGTTTTTCAACCTTAAAAGGTAATAAGTCAAAATTTATTCTCTACTGGCATCTGTTCATGATTTTTTCGTTATAAATCGATATATTTTATCGATGCTATTATCAGTAACAAGTGATACTTTTCTTCTATTCAGTTAAACTTACAATAGAATTTAATTAATAAAATAATAGTTGTAACAAAATGTTAATGCGAAAAAAGTGACAAACATATAAACAAATAAACAAACATCTAACATATTATTGTCGTTCTTTCACATGTATGACAAAGAAACGTAAAAATAAGTACAGTATCATTTCTCTTTTCTATGTTTCTTAATCAAATGTATACATATGACCTATGATATTTGCTTGCCAAACGTATTAATTTCTCAACACATGATTTTTCTATTTGCTTATACTATAGGTCAATATACCTCGATATTATTCTAAAATTAAACATAGCCGCAACGAAAAAATTATCAAATAAAAAAACATGTGAATAGACTAAATAAAATTTTTATCCTTGTCATTGAAGGACATTTCTTAACAAATTTTAAAAAAGACTAACCTATGAATGAGTAAATGTTTTTATAGAAGTAAGATGTTTCAATGAAGTATCTATGAAAAGTTAAAATATTATAGGTAATGTTTGTCGTCTGGAGTAGTAATGGATAAATGATTTATGATTTTCATAGAAATGACGCATATAAAAGGACATTCTCGATGGTAATTACGATAATACATATAGAAAAAAATTATATCGAGTAGTGATGAAAGAATTTTTTAAGTTCAATAGCGAACACTCACCGAATATCACATGCTATGAAGATCCAAATTTTTTATCACTACTTTGTTTCAAGGACAAGGTCAGTTTTTTAAAGTTTAAAAGCAAGCTTTGCGTTGAAAACGGGATACTACGGGAAGTACAAATCTTTTGTACTTCATCTCCTTCCTGTTTGCATTACTGCATTTATGATGATGTTTACAACACTTGAGTTGCTCTAGTTATTTACAAGGTAGCCTCTAATTTCTATTTATTATGAAAACTTTATAGAGAAAAATCTAATAGACTTGCTTGAGTTTTATTCATTCTATAACTCATCCTGTTAGATAGGAAGTTTTCATTCTTTGCTCCAAAGGAGTTACATTGACCAGCGTATTTTCTCTTATAAATACCATACCGTTACATATGCTGCTACATATGCTGCGTTAAAAAGAAAGCTTGAGAGAAGCTAAATAGTGTTCGATATGCATTAAGTCGATTCATGGGATCTATGAAAAACTTGGTATAAATTTGCAAGTTATTAGGTAGATAAACGATTGATTCATCTTCGAAATTCAACAATAAATGTAAAAACAGTTTTAATATTAAAACATAAAAATTTAACGTCTGTTATCAGAAAACCCTCATCCATAAAGAACGGTTCACATTACGTAATATATAAAACAACGTAATATATAAAACAAATACCATAATGGTATATCAACAAGTGCTAAGTTAAAATTTGCGTAGTTTCTTGTAACTGAAATATTAATAATATTTTACATTAAATATCTCATTGTGATCCGAAATGCTGATCGGATCGAGGTATTTTCTTTTTACTTGCATCCTCCGTTTTAAACAAATCTATTTTTTTGACAGTGTGCGACTTAGTATTTCAATCGAAAAGAACCAAGAACTTGCTGATATATCATTTAACTATCTGTTAAATACTAAGTAACATACAGTTGGAATGAACGAACTACAGGGCTTGAACCATTCGGTATAGACGAACAGTTACTAGTATATGTGAGAGTATGACTGAAGATAAAATGGGACCTTTTTTATCGACCAACCATTCCAAAGGAAAACACAATATTTGAAGTTATTGTGTCGAATTTTTCTTAACTGCTAGTGTTCTTTGCACTCGCGGTTGACAGTTTCAGATCACACACATAATTTATATTATTTTGAAAACATTTCGTCATTAGAGAATACACACGAATAGAATTACTAAAGATTTTCTGACTATCACATTGAATATACCAAAATGCAGTTAGCTTGTATCTCGTATCCATAAAGGTTTTATTTTCGTTTGAAACGTGTGTAAACGACAAAATAATAGAAACGCGTTTCTATTATTTCGTCGTTTACACGCGTCTGGACACCGTTTCAAACGAAAAAAACCTCATGGAGTAGAAATTCGCAGTATTCGAACAGTACGGAAACAAAAACAACAAAATTATCGATAGACATTGTCACTTATTTACTGTTATTAAATTTTATACTATCGAAAGTGTGTGATTATTGTGACTCTACTTTGAACATATGAAACTACTCACAAGCATGTAAAATAGTCGTTTTCCTTCTCTGCTGAGCGCTGATCATATGGCTATTGAAAGATTAATGTCTTTTCTCCTTTTCTGTTTTTCTGACATCATTATCTCTTGTTCTGTCCAGTGCTTCTAACATCATTTCTTTTCTGTTTCTTTTTTGTGTATTCAATGACATACATACAGTTGTATTTCTCCGTACTCAATAAAGAAGAACAACGACTACTCAACAAACAACAACAACAAAACTTTTCATATTTGAGACATTTGAAAAGAAATTTTAGAAAAGAGAAAAGCAATCCTTATCATTATTGAACATTTACACGATTTTACTGTTCAATCCTACAAACATAACAACATATTTCATTAAAAACAATCGATCAAATTCTTCTCAACGTTTCTATTACAAGAGAAATGATAAATGTCTTAAGTAAATTATTTAATTGAAATGAGACACAAACTGAACAAATAAAAACATCGACTTATACATGTTTTGAACTCTGACATAGCAAAAAGCTGGAGCTTGAAACATCCCTACATCAAGCTGTGCATCAAACATAAAGACAACAAATTAAAAATAATCATTACAGTTGAAAAATATTGAAGAAAAAAAAATCCCAAAAATGTCCACTATTTTCGCTTAGTCGTTAAAGTAGACGATGATGATAATCGTTCATGAACAGACCGTTTACGTTTATTGTTATTTACTTCAACTGAGATCGATTTTCTTGTAGGAATTATTTGAACTAATCGATCAGATGACGGTGTTGATTCAACTTGTTGAATTTCTTCTGAAGGTAGAGGAGTGATTGGACGATGACGATTTTTTATTAATTGACGTAAATCGAAATTAGATGAATTAATATGAACAGTGACAGCAGTAGGCGTGGAGTCGGATAACAAAGATGCCGTCTGCGAAGGTTGTGGTTTTTCATCTTTTGAACGAGCAGAAGATGGACGAGTACGATGACGATCTAAATTAAGTAAATTAAAAAGTCAAGTTAATTATGCTATATTTAATTTCCTTTATTATTCATGCAAACTTTCAAACCCTTGAACAATTTCTTTTTTATTGCTACTAGATTCATGACACTCCAGAAAACTGATTACACATCAGTTATTCCTAAAATTTTTACATTGGATAGAAAAGTAATCGATGTATAATTAGTGCTAGTGAGACATTTTCTTTAATATTTTGTATTTTCTGTTATTTTTTGCTCTCATCAATTGATTCGAAAAAAACTATATATATAAACAACTGTGCGACAATGAGAAATTATTATACTACTCACTGGGGAACATTTGTTCTTCTATCGCAAATGTCATATGAGCAACCGGCTGGTAAGTGTCGTCTGGAAGCAAAATTCTCCCGAGCACCTAACATAGAAATATTTTTCGAGGAAGGGGAATTTATAGATCCAATTGAATAAATGATTAGAAAGTATTTGTACTACTGAACTATCCTAAATGTGTTGTCGTGAAGCAGTAACAGTAGAAAACCGTTTCGAGTCTGTTAACTCTTGCTCTGTTGAAATTAGAAAGGGCGTTCTAGTTCTGATGATCACCTCCATTTTCTTTTCGAGTGTTGTTCGACGTTGTTTTGCTGTTATTCACTGATGTTGCAGTAGTTGTCGGTTTCTTTGCTGCTTTTGCTCTCGTTGTTGAAGAGGAATAGTATCGTTGAGATCGAGAGTGCTGAGACGACGGCTCTTGTTTCAGCTTAGTCCTCGAACTCCCTCGTGATGGTTGTGGTGCGTTTTGATTCTTTGATGTTGGTCTTGGTAAAGAATTTTTACCGTTCACTATAAATAAAGTTATAAAAGTGTTTTAAAGCTGAAAAAACCACATTCAACAATAGTTTAGAGTTCTATTACATGAATGAGCAACATCTTATTTTATAGAAGAAATCTAGGATGAAATTTTTCAAAATCGTGCAATGCCAAGTGTAAACCCATATTTCTATTCGACTATCGAGCTCTTTCGAAAAGGAAAAAGAAGATAGGCTTCAGCTCATTCAAAAAAACAACATGAGGCACGAAATGTTATTTCAATTGCTTTTTATTGCATCAGTATTTCGCACAAGAATCTGAAGTGTGAATCGAATTCTCTCTCCAACTAAAACAGTATTCCTCGATACATAACAAAGAAATCGAGTATTTTATGTCTGAAAACGTTCAAGCTATAATCTGTTTATGCTTCAGTGTAAGAAAACGTCTTTAGCATACCGTTTGAGTAATGTTGTTGTTGTTGTTGTTGTGTATCATCTAACAATAAATCTTCATCTTGTTGTATTTGACAATGTAAAATGAATGTATCATCTTGAACATGAGGTTGTTCTGTTAATACAATTTGTTGTCGTGGTTGTACGCCATCTTCATCGTCACTAATAAATTCTGTTCCTTGAAGGTAATCTGATTGTTTAAATTCTCTCTCATCAACATCATTTGCAGAATCATTCATTTGGACACCACTTGCTGGAGGATCAAAACGATAATCACGATCTTTGCCGTGATGATAAGTTGATCTTGAACTGGAACGTGAAGTATACGAAGAACGCGAATCAGATGATGTGGAACAAGAAGTGCCAGACGAAGAAATTGATGAGCAAGAACGACTTCGAGAATAATAATGACGTGAATATTTGCGAGATGACAATATGGATGGATGGTTCTAAAACACAAAGTAAACAAACTGTTCTAGAGGATGGAAAATATACAAGTTTCTTATTCACACGCTTTTTAACTAACTAAATGAGAATCAAAATGAAAATTTTCGCTTTTTGCTAAAAAAATTCCTTTTTTATCTATTTGACAAACATCAAGGGAAAATGTTCATTTTTAACCACTATTTTAAATAAGTTATTACGTCAACAAACAAAACTTTCACTATCGTTTCCTAATCAAGTCAACTAGTAGAAGGAAAAAGATTATTTCATTACCTTTTTTTTATTTTGTAATGTTTGCAGTGCTGCTTGTCGTAATTGATCCAACTCTTCATCATCACTTTTATGTTCTTCTAATTCTTCTTCTTCTTGTACATAAACATAATTCCAAGGTTCAGTATCATGGGTAGAATTATGATGATAATTGTAAGACTGATAATCACTTGGATATGTCGCCATATTTATTCAAGCATACATCTATAATCAACTAAAAACGATCGACATTCCAATGCAAAAGTGATCTACTAAACATTCTTTTCTAATCTTACAGCGTACCGGCTAGCCGATGTGGAAAACCTAACGCAAGCTGAAGAAACTCGCTTAGTCTTGGAGCAATGCTCCATAACTAACGTAGTATTTCCTTAAGTTAAGTGGGTTGTAACGATTTACTCCAATTGTTTTCTCGATCTTAATCCCGTATTTCCAATAAGAATCTGAACAACGTGGATAGCCAAGCATAGAAAACCAAATATTTTTGTAAAAAACTCACTATCTTCTCTAGCAAAAACAAATTTGTACAAACGAAGAGAAAAATCTCTCACAAAATGAACCAAAGATACATAAAAAAAACACAAATAATATTGGACAACAGCAAAGACCAATTACACAAATTCTTATTCTACAAAATTTGTAAAAATAAACAAAAAACACTCAACTTTTTGTACTAATACTTCCACTATGATTTTCAATGTTTGTCAAAAATCTTTGAATTGATGTCAGAGATTCCTCTGTTTTATTTTTATCGTCTTTATGCAGATCAGCACAAAAGTTAATCAATACATGATATTAACTGAATAGCTATCTTAAATGATTTTTCTTTTCATTAATCTACTCATATTTCTGTGAGTGATAAAAATCGATTGCATGTGCTAGGTTTAGATCATCGGAATCTATTACAACAACTGCCGCATTCAGATGGGGAGAGATAAATCGACTACGCAGATTTTAATAAATCCTTCTTCCTATTTCTTTCATAACTTAAATAAGAGAAATGTTTCATTGCTGAGACAAAAAGAAAATACCGATATAAAGTTCTCTTTGATTCATTTATCTTCATCGCTTTTCACATCATAATATAGAAACAATAAGTACAAGCATTATTTGCCATTGGTTGTCTAAGATTACAGTTGCAGCAGCTTTTGCATGAAAACTAAGAAGCGAATAAAAGAAATGTTAAAAGTTTCGCATGATTTTTATAAAAAATCATAAGTATTAATCATAAGTAAATTATAAGTAATTAAGTATAAAACAGAGTGTATATTCAGTTTGGCAGAGCGTACAATTTGTTTTGTTTTCGTTGTGTACATTCATATTAAGTCAGGACTGAAGATAAGTTACAATCACTTTCTTTTATACATATATGTCAATGTGCACTGTGACAATCGCCATTTCTCTGGACAGCGTTAAGAACCCCACAACGACATCGGTCGTCAAATGCGAAATCTATAAAGAAGTAAATTGAGCAAAGAAATGATTAAAACGAATATAAAATCAAAGTTTCATGCAAATATATTTAACTATACACATTTGCGTCAGGTTTTATTGAAATGGCTGGTAGATGACACTAACAGTTGGTATCGCACTGTAACTTTTTTGATTAGTTCAAATTAATTAAAAAATTATAATTTCGGCGTTACATCTCCTATTCTTTACCTGCTGTTTGGGTAATAAAAAAAATTGGAATTAATATTTGGAATGAACTTGAAGATATATTTGAATCGTTTAGTTTGTCTTTTGGAGATACTCCAATTACCACTGATCAAGGGTTTAATATGATAAAGACATTAACAACTACCAATGAAGCTATTTATCGTTTTCTAGCTCACAGAACAAACACTGTTCTTGAGACAGCATAGGAAAGTTTAAAATCATCTAAGAATGAATTTAAAGTTTTTTGTACGTCGGTAGATGATCTAAGAACGTATTTTCAACAAAGTGGGGGAGTATAATTTAAGTTACTAAAAACATTAAAACGGACAAGTCACTACCGCAAAAAATACGGCACACATACTGCTCACAATACCTAAATACCAATTGAGTTTGTGTGGTTTGTGTTTAAAAGGTAAACATAACTGAAATGTGCATTTTATCCAGTTTTTTACGCTCTTCCCAAGTACAGAAAAAAACATCCTGTTTGTAATAGTATCTTCTATCCAGGTTTTCTTGGAGCCCAACGACTAGTATCAGGTGACTTCAGGTAGGCTTGGAGTTGCATAAAACACTCGTAATCAACCATGCTGATTCTGGTGGCAATGTTTAATTTTAGATAAGAGCTTTATAACAAGGTAAAAACCGAGTTTTATGAAAATTAGGGTTACCACGCTGTTTTCACCTAATAGTAAAAAATTCACAACTCACACAGAAACGTTACGATGAATTGGAAACTTCAGGACGTGCAAAAATTCAGGCTATTCTATATTCTATTTATACAAAAACCTAGAAAAAAGATTCTAAAATCATATAGTTTTTCGAAGGGTTTTCTAGAAAACTTTCGTACAGAAATATTATTTTCACTATCTTTTGATCATATAATTACGTTAAATGGATAAAACTACTATTATCTTGAAGTTTTCAACTCGTCCTGATGTTTCTGAGTGAGCTGTGAATTGTTTATTAGTAGGTGAACTATCCACTACTTATCTATTATACTGCTTTAGAAATCTTAACCCAGAAGTTTTCGGTACTGGAAGCTATTACGAGAAGTTTATTTACGCAGTTATCTGTTTTTGTAGAAAAACGTACCGAAGGAAATGCTCAGATAGTTTCGAACAAAGAGTCATCTTGGAAGAGTATCAAAAATACTGACTACATACCGAAATCGCTGTTTCCCCCTTGAGAAAAATGCTTCATTAACATGAATATCTAACAATCACGTAATTACGTAGTATGTCGATATTCACTGAAAATATTGCAATTTGCAACCAAACTTCATTAGTGGAATTAGTTGTGCTAATGAATATGACCAATATATTTCATCTCATGTTTATTTTACACAAAAGGAACAAAGCTATAACTATTGAATTATTTTTTACAAGGTACGGAATCAAGAATAAAAGAAATGGCAAATAAATATAAAAATAATAGACAATGACACGAAGCAAAAATCATGAGTGACCAACAAAGTTTAAGTTGAATTTTAAGAAGATGACATACACTTGAATCAATCGGGCATTTTTTAGTAACATCAAGATGAGTACCATTCAGAGATATCATTATCACACAAACACTAATCAGAACAAATTGAGAACAAAGCGCTAAGCCAGCCAATTCTTTTGTCTTATATTTCACTAAAATTTAGAAAATAAAACATTAAATATATCAGTCATTACATGGTTATTGATAAAAAGAATTGCACAGGATAATGTTTAAAATAAACCAAACGTATGATCGTTTACCCTATGAATGATCTGCATGAGGTAAGACAACTCACCAAAAACAGTGGTTACTATGATAGCGACGATGTAAGGTATAATACACCAAAATCCTGTATAATAGTATGTGTGTTGTTTGAAAAATAAGAGTATTTCTAATATACATATGACCAATATTACGGAATACTGAATGCATGTCAAAATAATTAAACAAATGGAGTATTTCATTGACAAATATTTTTCTTTATTTTCCAATAAATTTTTTCGTTCATGAAAAGAAACTAATTTTTCGCCAATCATTGTGCGTTTTTCATAATTCGTTAGAAGAGAATATGATCTGGTGGATTGCAACATTTTCGATGATAGCGAGTGTTAAAATGTATCTGAGGACAAAATAGAAAAGTTGTACATGGTCTAATACTCTCAAATGCAAAAATATGATCTTCACTACCTTGTTTTCTGTTCTGTTTTTAATTTTGAAAAATCAGCTGTTTTTCGTTTTGACAGTATTGTTGAAGATATATAATAATAAGAGTTTAGCGTTTAGACCAGTACATATATAATAATGAGAAAAAGACTATTCTTACAGTAGTAGGACGGACAAGAAAAATGAAATAAGATTACGTTATTCACGAAAAGGGCAATATGACATTGGTCACTCTCTCAGAGAAACACAAATAACGAGAAGGTTAATGGACCAAAATTTCAAAAGAAAAAATTCTCATATAGTCATCAGAGATTTGCACAGGCAGAGTTATTCTGCTCGTGCCCGTCTATGACCATGCAGAAAAAAAACATTTCTCTGATATGCCACAAATCTTTTCTTCTCTTCCTCTCTCTGACTAGCCCAGCCGAAAGTGGATGGCGTCATATCTTGAAACTTCGAGCTTCATAAACCTTTGCGCGTATTAACTTTGTGATAGACATATCTATTCTCATCTTCATTTTAAAATTTGAATATCTCAGGTAGCATACAATACAAACAAAATTTTTTTACCTTTCGATAGCCAATTTAATTCTCTACAACCGATATAAGATCAGTTTTTTCAAAAAAATGCTTCCTTAGTTTGTTATAATGATAATGCCAATGTCCATTTGAATGGACATTGGGCTTTAAAGGGTTAAGATGATGTAACTATAGGATAATACTAAAAAGCAATCTTTTAAACTTGCATAATATCGTTCATATTTTAACATAAATAGAAGCCCGTCTCCAATCGATGCACCACCAAGTTCAATGTCTCTCTCTCTCTCTCTCTCTCTCTCATATCTTAAGTTGAAGAGAAAAGTCTGGTTAACATTTTAAGACGTTTTTCAGCCTTACAACATGTACCGTTAAGAAGCTGCAACCTAAACATTGGACACAACATTGGTTTTGCAAAATTAAATTCGAAAAAACTAAAAACTAATGTCCAATGTTTAGGTTTCGGCTTTTTAACGGTACATGTTGTAAGACGGAAAAACGTCTTAAAAAATGTTAACTATACTTTTCTCTTCAACTTAAGTTCCCGCGATACTCTACAACAGTCAGTTTAGGAATTATAGGCAAAACAAAATGATAGTAAAACGTTATGGAATTCTGTACAGTAACAGAGTTAGTTGGCTACGCCGATATATAATAAAATTGTACTAGTTATTTTCGTTTTTGTTATTCTTACACTTCAGATCTATTACTGATTGATAATGTTTGATCTACTATCAATCGTTTCATTCACTACCAGTATAGTTTAAAACTTTAATCTTTCAGTTATGCAACGTATAATCAGAACATAAGATTTTTAAAATGTTCAATTAGTTGTAAACGTGCGATAGATGATGCTTTTAGAAATAAAGCGTCGAGAAGGAAGGGTTTAAATATATATTTTCTTTGAAGCAAAGAGAGAGAAAAGTTTCATTATGTACTTTAGGAAATCTGTTAAATGATTTTGACTGGACACAGTTTCTTGTTTTCTTTCGCAACCACGTTTTTTTTCGAATCATATAGTCTATATAGTAGATAAAAGAAATAATTCTTTGTACGATTGACAGAACAAAACAAGAAGCAAAACAATTATCTCTAACACTGCGAACGATCTGAATGTAACCAGAAGTCACGTGAACAATCTTGTAGATTTTCTTCACTAAAGATGTAACAACTATTTTACAAAAATTTTTGTTCTATGAGAGTTTTAAGCTGCATGTTGACTAGTAACGTTTAAGCGCGATGGTGGCTCATGCTGTAGTATTCTACATCCTAAATATACATACATAGTGGATACTTCTATTTATTTTTGTTTATATGAAATTAGTGATTGATCACTTGTTTGTGTTTGTCATATTCTAGATGATTCACGTTCGTACACACTCAACATTCCCTTATAGTGAATTTCAAGATTTTGATCGAGGTCAGGAATCAAAAGTTCAAGGTCTAATTCGCTATTTCAATCGTTTATCAAATGAACAATCATCGTTCATTGACATACCGGTGCACCATAATCATTATCATATCGTTTCTTCACTATTAAATTCACAAAACATTCCTATTAATGCAGAGAAGAAAAAGAGAGTTTTAACGACATCGACAAATTTTGTTTTGTACGAAAAAAACGACGAATTAACTGCATCCTCAAAAATTATTGTTTACAAAGAAGCGAATGTTTATGATATTGAATTTAAACAAGAAATTGTAAACTTTTTTAAACATTATAAAGTTTTTATAAGATTTTTTCGTGATTTGGCTATGTTGATCGAAGTCCATGTTCTAATGGTGACTATTCTCTATTTATTAACAGCAAAACTTCTATTTAATCATCGAAATTATTATTCAATTTTACTCATATTCATTGTTACAATGATTTCATTAACATTTTATTTAGGTAAGTTGAAAGTTTAAAGTGAAATCACTAATTTTTTAGCAATACAAATTTTTCAACATCAAAGTAAAATACTCGCGGCAAAGATTCTGATTTCCATCCTCTCTGATCGGAGCTGAGATTAACATTAATATATTAGATTGACCATTGATCTTGCTTGAATAAACGTTTAAAAAATATTCGATCCAATGATCTGTTCATTGTCATTGTTGTTTTGATTTAATTTTAAGTTCAACGGACGAAATGGGCATTAACGATACTGCTTATCGAATACGTATGTCTACCATTTATTATTATGCTTGTGTTATCAACTTGTACAAGTAATCTCGCATATCTTGAAATGTGGTATGATTATACGTGGCTTACAAATGTGATGTTTCATGTTAAAATGAAATCGATTACTGGTCTCCACGTGTTTTTTATTTATACTTTCACGATCATCTTATGGAATTACGAAAAATACTTATGCAATTGGGTATAGATATGAGACTGTACATAATCTAGTTTATATATATATGTATACATTTAAAATGTGTTGCCTGTGCACAAGTTGTTTTTCCATGTTTAACTATCATATTTTATACTGATTTTTTTATATCGGTTTTCGCGCTCATTATAAGCGTACTCAGATTTATTTTGTTTTCTATATATTTGTAGTTTTAGTTACTCTATGGTTTTTTCATTTTATTGCACACAACATGTTTTTTGTGCATATATGCGTGTATTTCTTACATATCATTAGAAATATGTATTTCTAACAACTTTTAACATGTTTTTTTTTGAAAAAGTACGATTTGATGGTACAAATTTATTGCCATAACCAGTGTAATGTTAAAAGAAAAAAGTTAACATACGACGTGAACAATGTAAATAAAATGTAAAAACAAATAAAGGATAAAAGAATTCTGTTACTTAAATCTCGCTTTATTTGGTAACAGATCATAGTACATGAAAAAAGCTCAGACGTATGTATAAGTTGTTAGAGAAAAATAAATATTCAATTCAAAGTTTCTGCCGAATATGACCATTAAATAAAAAATAGCCAAAATGAAAAGTAGTGAGAGAAATGGTTTTCATATATAAAATTAATTTATGACACACAAGATGAGTGAATTACAAATTACAGTTTAAGCTGTCACAGTATTGTTCCTCTACAAAATTACACTCATCTTGCTTACAAATGAAGAAAAAGAAAGATTTGAAAATAGAAAAGGAATTAAAGATGAAGATGCTCTTTTAAAGCCTTGTTAAAGTTTCTGAGAGAATTGATGGAAATAACTTTTTTTAGGTCTTAGCATTCCAGTCGTTCGCAGTCCTTCAAAAAAAGGATGACTCGACAGTCTGGGATGCTTCTCCGAAAACCCGATTAATAACACTAAGCATTTTACGACAAGATGTTGCTACTTCGCGAATATGTATTGCCTATTTCAACGCATACCCAAAAGCTTAGGATCGGTATCGAGTGAGAGATTCGAGTGTAATAGAGTTAACTTGAAATCAGGCTTAATTTTTGGATCAAGAGAAAAACATGTGTTTGAACCTTTGTCAACGTTGAGTGATATATGATTTTTTCCACACCAGCCTGCTATCCTGTCTATTTTAGCTTGTAGAAACAAAAAGGTAGAACATATGAGCGTCCAAACATCAGTCGTCAGAACAGTCTGCAGGTTGAGACTCCTCCAGTATCTAAAGAACATGTAGCCTCCTCATTTTTTATTGTACAGCTATTATCTGGAATTCCATGCCACAAACTGTCGTGTCATTGACAACAGTTTCTTCGTTTAAACGAACTACTTTTGGTCGAAAATAGAAAGTGACCCAGATTCGAAGAGGTTTGAATACACTTTGATAGATAGCCTATTGTCATCACATTTAGCTAAGGCATCGCCAAGTATTGTTTTTCTATCATAAAAAACATCATGTACATCAACTAAATCTATATTTGCTCATATTTCAATTCCTCCCAGAGGATTTTTTGATAAAAAATTTCCTTTGCACGCGTTAGCTATTTTTAACACATTTAACAGCATTAAATATTAATAAGCTCACATGCGTTAACTGATATAAAAAGAAAGTTCTAATGCGTTGACACGCGTTAAATTTAGCATACCAAAAGTAAACGAAAAAGTTCGCATCTATTGAAAAGTCGTTAATACGTTAAAACGACTTAGAATGGATAGTTAACGCATGAGCCTAGCGAAAAAACGCGTTATAGTCTCATATTAAATTTTTTAAGGCGTTTCTCGCGCTAAAATTAAATTAACCATCAACACTTTTAACGCGTTTGGATAATACTGACTATTAACGCCTGATAAACTCAATGTTCCTCAATGCATTAAAATTCTTTTAACGTACTTAAACGTGTTAAAAGTTCTTAATTCATGCGAACACATTGAATTTTAAGGCATTCAAAGACCTTAAAAACTTGTAAGGCGTTGACAGGTTTTAGTGTGTTCAGATACATTCAAAAATATCAGATTTCAAGGCGTTCGAATGTATTAAACCTTTTAATGCATTTTAACGTATTAAAATTTCTGAATTCGTGTAAATGCAAGAAATTTTAACGAGTTTACGTGTATTCAAACTGTTCAAGGTCTGTAAACGCATTGCAATTTGCGTAAAACTTATGGGGTTTGCATGAATTAAGCAGTTTTAACACGTTTAAGTACGTTAACAATCTTTTATACATTAAAGCACATGAAAATTGTTGCATTCACGAAATGCATTGATCGATGTCCATATGAACAGAAGGCTGAACTGTTCGGAAGAGTTCTTAAGGCCTGGATAGTATGTCTGCTTGGGTAGAAAGGATCGTGCTATACCAAACGTTTTGAGAGGAATCCAGTGGTGATGTCAGAAAGAGTTGAAAATGCTTCTCTATCGAATGTGTGTACGATTCCGTTTTTGAGAAGTGCTAATGTATTCACACGCATTAATTTCTAATACATGTGAATGCATTAAATGAACTCGAGCCCGTGTGAACGAATTGAATGGACGAAATTACTTTTTAAGACATTCTAGTACGTGAACTTACTAATGCTTTTAAATATTATGCAGAGAGCAAACTTGCAGATTATTTAACTTACTCATCTTACCTAAAAATGTTCGGTTGAGAGAAGTTACACGCAAACTATAGCTTCTGTATAACTTATCCTTAGAACTGATTAGTTTTCCACCGAGCGAGAGCTTCCTTGAAGCTGAAACTTGTACTTTCTGGTGTACTCGAATCCAACGGAAACTGGTATCTTGAACAAGAACGAGATTTATTGAGTAAAAAAACTAAACTTTCCTACACGTCTAAATGAGATTATGACACATTTTGAAAATCTCGAACCGTTTGTTCGAAAAGGTGAAATTTAAAATCACGCAAGACTTTCTTTCGATTTATTCAATAACGACAGGCACTGACAGACTTTTGAGTGCTGAAAATCTTTTGTCTTCTGCAAGTAAAGCTTAAATTATAATTTAACGCTGTCTTAATGTCTTAAAAGTTAATGCATTTACTAGCTTTGAGTTTTCTTGATATTCTAATGCATTTTTACATATTCAACTCGTTCAAATGCTTTATTGAGTATATCATTCAAACTTCTTAAAGCTTTTAACGAGTTCAAATACGTTAAAAGATGAATAAGGCATATGAAGATGTTGAATTTGTAAAAATGCATTAGAAAAATTAAAATAGTTAAGGCTCCGAAAGGCATGCGAAGGCGTTAAAATTATTTTTTATTCATTTAATGTGTTCAGACGTATTAAACGTCCGAAATGTCAACTTTTACGCGTTCAAAGAAAATTTTTGATATCAAAAAAATCCTCTGGGTAGTCTGTACAAGTGCCAAAATTCCATCATTCTCCAATGTATTAAACGAATGGAAACCATCAACAACAAACTTTAATTCTGCATCTGTCAACTTTGATTTATACTTTTCTGGCAATGCATTTTTATTAAACGCCAGCTTTGACTGAATCGGGTTCGGCTCTACATGTGCTTCAGCATTGGTAGTAGCATGTTTAAACTTCCGTTTACAATCTTTTAAATGACCATGAATAGAATTTAATCCATTATTTTTTCGTTTTACCTTATCAGAAAAAATACATTCGATTTTGGTTTACTTTGAATTTGTGATCCAGACAAACTGTCTGCATTAAACATTTTAAACATAAATAAAGTAGTGAAAAGGAAAGGAATGATTGATATGACAAACAGTGACTTGATGTAAACAAATAGATTTGAAATCTACAATCTACAATCTATATTCTATAATTTTTGTTACGCCTATGTTACAAAGAATAAATTAAAGAAAACCTTTAGACTCCATAAAAAAACGCGGAAAGAACGGATTTTAGAATATAGATTATAGATTTCAAATCTATTTTTTTCTGACCTAACCACAACGGGTGTTGTAAAAGTTCTTGTACAAATGTCATTTCATTTTTTTTGTGCTAAAAATAGTTTAGAAAAAAATAACAAGTTCTTCGAAATCTACATTTGAAGAATTTTCTCAGCTACTGTTCGAAAACTTTTTTCGTTTCTGACCTACGAGCACAAAGTGAATCTTTCAAACACACCAACGTTTGGTCTAGAAAGAGGAATAAATGGAATTTTTCCAAGTCTAAAATTCAATGCCGTTGAGTAGAATTATTTCAACAATGTAAACTATTAGAGCAGACTTTTCTCTGCAAAAGGACGTGCCCAAAAAATAGGATATAGGACAAAAGGTTTAGAAGTTATCGTTATTTTGCGAATACTAGTTTCTATGTCAGAAAAAACACGATTTTCCAAAAAACGATAAATTTGCATAACTTGACGGGATGCTCAGTTTTCAATACGCAAAATAATTCCGGAGAGCCTATTTTGTAGAGAAAAGTCTACTCTGTAGCTTCTTGTGGAAACTATAGTTTGATCTCTCATTTTAATGCTGTTACTGTTGAAATCAAACAGATGTACAAGCTTCTTTTCTTTACAGACTACATGTTAGTGCTCTTCAAAGATGCATTTACTGCTCGAAGGTCACAGATGATAGAAATATTTTGAACATATAGTTAGAAAGCTCTTCAAATGTAGATTCTGAATAGCTATTTTTCATTTTTCCAAAACATGTTTTAGTAGAAGAAAAACGAAGAGACATTTTCCTAGGAACTTTTGCAATATCCGTTATGTTCCTTTTTGTAACAGAGAATTCCCGGTAGAATTGATAGTCTAGATACACAATACCAAAAGAATATACCATTATCTGTTTTCATTCCAACAAGAGTAGAAAAACACCTACTTAAAGGAATGAAATCAAAACAGAACAAAAGAAAATAACTCTGATAAGTAGAAACTATTTTATTTCGAACAATATACTATTTAAAGTCTGAAAAAGTTAAACCGGTGAAAAACGGACCGGTTTAAACTTTTTCTCATCCAGTAAAAAGCAGTTAAAAACTGACTGAATGACTAGTTAGGATGTCGGTTTACTGGTTCGGTTTCAACTCTGCTTCAGATCCTATCAGGACCACTAGTGTTTTGAACATAGAACAGGCTACTTCTTCTAAGGCATTTGCGTCAATGCTAATATCTTCACGAAAAACCAATGAGAAATTTCGAAAAAAGTAGTCCCAAAATAGAGAGTATTTCACTCTACTAGACTATATAGAAGAAAAACTTTTGAAGACACTGGAAAGAGAAGAAAAAATAAACAAAACTAAAAAGAATTGAGTTTTTTCAGCTGTTTGAACAAAAACTTGAAAAATTCATAATTTTTCCACAAAAAAGTCATGCAATGATAGATATGGTCTTACTGTGTAGCCGATACTTGGCTCTGCATTAAGCTATGTTCAATCCAAAATCAACAATTCTGTTGAGAAAACAGGGAGACGGGTGCTCAGGTTCGTGAGGTGTAACGAAGAGAACTTTGCATTTAAACAAAACAAATAATAATGAAAAACTGCTATTGTCGTACTATGCAGGAAAAACTTGACTATGTAATACGGCTAAATATGTTCTAGTTATTTTTGAGTTTGTCGGTTTTCGTCTCGTCCATATTTTCAATATGACCAAACCAACTGTTTTTTATGAATAACACGAATAATCTCCAAAGTGGTAATATAGTAAATATTAGAAGTAATGCGTAACCGAAGAGTGTCCAATGTTCCTCAGCAAAATATTGCATAAGATAGATTAATAATCCCGAACACAATATCTCACTACCGAATAAACTCCAATAAATAAATCGTCTAACATGAATTAAACCTACAGTCAACGTGTTTGTCGAATATTTACTAGGTATCGCAGCCAGCATTAAACATGTTAGAGTAAATATACTCGACATCCACCAGAGTAAAAAGTGTTCTGCTAATGGTGTTATTTCAAAATTTTCAACAATTGGTGGTAACAAAGCTCGTAGAAATCCTTCAGAATAATTGAATACATACCAGATAAATCCAATATTACACAGAGACTCGATGCCAAGTAATAATTTAATTGGTTTATCATTTACTAAGCAAATATTCATATGATCGAGAAAATCCTTGTGAGTATTAGACATAATGATGGCAGTAGGATAAATATACGTATAAAGTTATCAGTTACTATATGATTTAAAGTAGTTTTTTTGTTACGCATCACTAAACACAAAGAAAATATGTAAGGATGCTTTATTAGTATATGCGACGTATCTCTTTTCATTCTCAGTAGCATATATCATGAAATAAGATACACTAACTAGATGAATTACTAACTACGATCCACGAAGATTGGAAAGTTGTCGAAATTTACTGATTGTTATTAAAACTTGTGAAGCGAATAGTACTGGATCTTCCTATAGAATTTCATTCATTTATCTCACTAGTTTTTTGAGACTACAACTAAAGATTAGAGAGTTGTAAAATCTGTATTATAATCTCATCAAAAATAAAACAATTTGTGAAATCCACAAATAAAAAGCTAATGGGGATGTAGTAACACGTTAGTCCTTTCTAACTTGCTATAATAAAGATAATCTCCAGTTCGGTTTTATACACCAACAACAAATTATTATTACGATAAAATATTTTACAGAAAAACTAATGTACAATAATAAAATATTAACAGTCTTTTTACGGCGCCGCTAATTAAAAGAGATAACATTATTTTATTTTCCGTTAACTTATACATTATTTGATAGAGAATTTCATGCTGATCAAGAATGTTAATGTTTCAGCCCAGCCTGTCCAATCAAAGTTTTAAGGGAGAAAAATTCCGACAACATCAAAGAGCTTATATTTCGAAAAATCGTTCCATAATGAAAAATAGTGCAAAATCTTT